TTTCACTGAGTTATGCAGATTTTCCAAATGTTAAAAGCATTTCAATATACAATATCAAAAGTCACACTTGCTAATATTACCACTGATCTCACCAGAAAAGTCTTGGGAAGCTGTCAAGCCCACAGTGACAGATACAAGTATTTTAGAATTCTAATTTTTGTTTGAAAGCTAGAATTTTATAATTGGCAACAAATACTATCAGTGTTTTCCTTAAGTGACAAATTCGTTTTGGTCGTTTTAGAGAAAATTTCTGACAAATACCCAAGTCTGACTAACCACAGTTTGTCAGCCAGTTGTTATTTCAAGTCAAAAATGGTGTTCCATGAAAAAAACCCAGCTAGTTCAGCTTGTAACTCCATCACACATATGTCTTTCTTGAGACAACCATTACACTTCAGTATGCAGCAGAAGCGCTCTGTGAGTACTTCTCATTTCATCTCACCGAATATTAAAAAGATGAATATTCAATGGTAGATATTAAATAAAACTAGTAAGTTTTACTGCTTCAACAAAGACATTTTCAGGTTAAACTGGCATTTTTTCCCCCTGCAAGTCCATACAGTTTGGTGCCAACTGCCTTGATTCATGCTAAGGCACTAGCAATTTTATCAACCCTCAGTGCAAATGTCAACAGTGAAAGAAAGTAAATAACATCTTAGTATTACCATGAAAATAGTTTTGAACTCAAAGACCCCCCTGAAGAGGGGATCCCCAGAGGTCCATGAAAGTATAATTTGAGAACTGCCTCACTGAGCTGATTCCCATAGAACCAACATGCCAATTAAACATTAGCTATCTCAGCAAGAGTTGAATAAGTTTCAAAATTACTCCACATATGATCCAACTAAGACACGGAGTGGGGAAAGTGACAGGGTGTATTCTACCATATTCAGTTTGATTGCTAATCCCAAGTCAGATATTAAAAATTATAAAGTCTAGGAGAATTTTTCCTACAGATTTGATTATGAAATATTTGGCAGAGGGAATCTAATTCAAACCAGCTGCTGGACTCTTGCTGTGCAGCAGTTAGTTAGAGTACACTGCCAAAAGCCCCCCTTTGGTGGGGAGGCCAGATGAGCTCATGCAAAGGCATTTTAGCAGCTTTTGTCCCATAAGTCCCATAAGCACAACACCACTCAATTTTCCACACTGTAAAGTAGCCACACTTTCTTTGAATCTTTTTCTCCTCCAGTCAAACAAAGCTTATAGGAAAAGATTGCAAAATGCACATCCTGCAAAATCCACAGCACCTTTAAAACCAATGTTTTTCTACCCGTATCACGCATCTGGCTTTAATCTCAAGAAATGTGTAAAATAAAAAATAAATAAATAAAATAAAAATCCTCTTCATTTATCATTTCACATTTTACTTAATTCCTCACCAGCCTGAAATACCAGCTATTAAGCAAACACACACACATACAGCTGTGATTTCCAAGAACCTGTAAATGTGCAAGCTAAGATAAATGGTAACCCATGTTAATTTACATCACCCTAACAATGTTCTTTGATTTTTGAACTACAATTAAGTCTTAATTTATCAAGGACTGTCTACTTTTGCAGATAATCAAGGTCCTTAATTTCTTTTCCTTCCCTATGTGTTTACGCTATCACTTTTTTTGGTCTCATCCACTCATAAGAACATGTTCCAAAGTATTAGAAATAGAATTAGTGAAAGTGAACATTCAGCCCTTTCTCATATAAATCTCAAACCCTCTCTTTCCCTCACACTAAAAAGACATGAGCACACCACTTTTTGGCCTTACTTCTCTCTATGGAATCCCTCCTAGTCTGGTTCCACTCTCTGGTCTCTCTCAGTGGCCATACTCTACCCGCTCTTGGAGGCAGAGGATGATTAAGCCCCACTTAATTCTATCATGCAGTGACTTCAACCAACACCAGCTAGCCGACATGGCCACATGGAAAAACTAAATCTCTCTCTGCCTGTCAGCTTTGCTCCTAATCCACTGGTACTTCCTGAACAAGGAGTAAAATATCTCTGCTGTTACATTAATTAAACTTATTAAGAAACAACCTGTTCAGAGAGCTACAGGCTTCACCCATTTAATTAATGGCCAAGTTCAATTTGCAGGTCTAGGTTGATCCAAATAATACTTTTGAATTCTTCACATTTAATATGAAACTTTCACTACTTGTAAAAACTATTGGGTAGAGCTAAGCTCCTCTCTTAACAATGGCCAAATTAAACCAATTATATTATTTATATAGACTTCTTTTGACATATTTTCATTTAATATTAAATAATAATTACTATTATAATTAAAGCAGCTAACACTTGAGCACTTACAATGTGTATAGCCATTAACTCATTTAATACTCACAACCACTCCATCTCATTAGGGTCTACTTAACAAATGAAAAATCTGTGGCACAGAAAGGTTAAGTAACATGCTCCTAATTACCTACTATCAGTGGCAGAATAGGGACTCAAACTCAGTTTATTAAGGATTGGTCTTAGTCCCTTCTATTAAATATTTTTTGGGTTGTTTTAATTGTAACAGCTTTATTGAGATATAATTCACATACCGTACACTTTAACTATTTAAAGTATACAGTTCAATGGGTTTTAGTAATATTCAGAGTTATGCAACCATCACCACATCCAATTTTAGCACATTTTCATTACCCCAGAGAGAAATCCTATATCCATTAGGAATCGCTCCCTATTTCTCCCAACACCTCCCACACCCCTGGCAACCACTAATCTACTTTCTGTCTCTACAGATTTGCCTATTCTGGACATTTCATGTAAATGGAATCATACAGGGGCCAGCCTGGTGGCGCAGAGGTTAAGTGTGCATGTTCCGCTTGGTGGCCCGGGGTTTGCCGGTTTGGATCCCTGGTGCGGACATGGCACCACTTGGCAAGCCATGCTGTGGCAGGCGTCCCACATATAAAGTAGAGGAAGATGGGCATGGATGTTAGCTCAGGGCCAGTCTTCCTCAGCAAAAAGAGGAGGATTGGCAGCAGATGTTAGCAGGGCTAATCTTCCTCAAAAAAAAAGGAATCATATAATATGTGGTCTTTGGTGTCTGGTTCCTTTCACTTAGCATAATGTTTTCAAGGTTCATCCATGTTACAGAGCATATCAGAACTTCACTCTTTTTTATCGCTGAAGTAAATATTCCATTACATAGATATACCATATTTTGTTTATCCATTCATCATTTGATGGACACCTGGGTTGTTTCCACTGTTTGGGTGTTACGAATAATGCTATTATGAACATTCATGTATGTTTTTGTGTGGACATAAGTTTTCATTTCTCTTGGGTATACAACCTAGGAGTGGAACTGCTGGGTCATATGGTGACTCTACATTTAGCCTTTTGAGGAACTGACAGACTGTTTTCCACATTGACCGTTCCATTTGACATTCCCACCAGCAGTGTATGAGGGTTCCATTTTCTCCACATCCTAGCCTACACTTTGCTATTGTCTGTCTTTTTAATTATAGCCATCCTTGTGGGTAGGAAGTGGTATCTCATTGTGGTTTCGATTTGCATTTCCCTGATGGGTAATTATGTTAAGCATCTTTTCATGTGCGTATTGGCCATTTGTGTATCTTTGGACAAATGTCTATTCAGATCCTTTTCCCATTGTTTTAATTAGGTAACTTATCTTTTTATGATTGAGTTGTACAAGTTCTTCATATTTTCTAGATACAAGTCCCAGATTAGATACGTGATTTGCAAATATTTTCTCCCATTCTGTGGGTTGTCTTTTCACTTTCTTGATGGTGACATTTGAAGCATGAAAGTCATTTTTTTTTGAGGAAGACTAGCCCTGAGCTAACATCTGCCAATTTCTCCTCTTTTTGCTGAGGAAGACTGGCCCTGAGCTAACATCCGTGCCCATCTTCCTCTATTTTATATGTGGGACGCCTACCACAGCATGGCTTGCCAAGCGGTGCAATGTCTGCACCCAGGATCCGAACTGGCAAACCCCAGGCCGCTGAGAAGCGGAACAGGAGCACTTAACCGATGTGCCACCAGGCCGGCCCCTGAAAGTTTTTAATTTTGATGAAGTCCAATATATTTTTTTTTCTCTTGTTGCTTGTGCTTTTGGTGTCATATCTAAGAAGGCACTGCCCAAGGCCATAAAGGCCATTTAATATGAAACTTTCACTACTTGTAAAAACTATTGGGTAGAGCTAAGCTCCTCTCTTAACAATGGCCAAAGCAAAGCATGCAAACTTAACCCCCGACCCCAGGGTTCCCTGTTGGACATACCAGATGGTTCCATCATTTAGCTTTTTTGACTGCCAAATACTTTTCTGTGGGGCTCCTTTTTAATGTGTAGTTTTTTAGTTAGATCAAAGCTTGATTCTTTTTTAAGCCTATATAAAAGTGAATGTGATTATGTTTTTTAGTTTTGCTAGATAACTAGTTTCTAGTTATCTCTTAAGACATTTTGGCCCCAAAATATACATTTCTTTATTCTTTTCCCTTCCAATTCCCCACATCTGGCATGCTAGAAACATCTTGTTGGTTCAGGTCAAATCAATGTTTATCGGACGGAATCAAAATTACGTGCTCTTATACTAGAAAGAGAAGTTGAGGAATATTTTGGCTGAGTTGTGTGGTTTATCCACACAACTTTTTAAACCACATTCTGGTTTAAATGATTTCATCACTCAGTCAAAAGGCTGCCACAATTTCAGTGGTTTTCTAGTCACAGTCAATAAAGTACAGAAAAAAACACTATTTACTTATCTTCATGACTAAGCAAGTCTTGAAGGGAACAGTTAGGAAACTGCTTCAACAACTTAAAAAATACACGCAAATATATTAGTGACAGAAACCATTTATTCTAAGCTAAGAGCTACAAAATAATAAGATTCTGAACGAAAAGTTTTTGTCTAAATCAACTTACATAAGCTACTTAAATGCTATTTTAGGTACCTAAGATAGAATTCACTTTAAAATTCACTAGATTTAGAGTAGGATAGATATTTTACTTTTTTGTCTTTAGTCTTACCTTGTGGCAACAAGAGGGTAGCTATGACATGGTGATGCCCAGGCATCCCTTGTCCATGGCATACAGTCATAAAGCAGCAAATCCTTTTCAGTCACAGCCATGAGGACAGGTCTCCATTGTTGTCTTCCACCATCTAGTTTTGCCTGTTACAATGGTGAAATCCAGAAAGCAGAGCTAACTATAATGATATGTAATTGTGAAGGTCCCTCAGCAATGGCCTAACATAGTGGGTCTCCACTTTGTTTCCCCATCCTAACAGAGCTGAGAAACAGGCAACATCCTGTCAGATTCCTTCCCACTGACAGGGATTCTTCACTGGGAGGTGTGAGGTGGATTGTGTAGTCTGAAAAAGCTCTCTCTGAGTTATAAACATTATCTAGCGATAGGACACAGTTTTTTCCCCATTCCACAATAACTAATTACCACCAATTCTAATTAAATATACAGCAATCTGTTCAAAATGATAATCGTTTTAATATACCTGATGTGGGAGTAACATCTTCTAAGCACAGGATAGAAACACAAAATTCTACTACCAAGTAAGTCTGTATAATTTAAACATCAGTGTTTTTTCAAAATATTTTTGATCAAGACCTACAATAAGAAATACATTTTACACTGCAACCCTGTAGACACATACATAAATAACTGAATAAAAGAATTTCCAAAGCAACACAATCCTTTTCTATTTTGTGCAATGCACTCTGATAATTTCCATTCTATCTTTTTTTTAATGCTGATCATGACACACTATGTTGCATTTTGGAAAACACTGATATAAACTATTGTCAAAGAGTTCCTCCATTATACTCTCGGAAGTTTATGTTTCAGTTTCAAATACACCATTGCATTTACTTGCATAAAGCTCAGTTATCTCTGTGAGGGTTTAAAAATGTAGGAAAACAACCACTATTTATCCATATTGTCAAGGATTCAAGGCCAAAAAGCAAAAGACTATGTTCAAGAAAATTCACGGTATTATCAAAACATTTACCCTCATGAGATAGGACCTTTGAGGGGCCAGCCCCAGGGGCATGGTGGTTAAGTTCGCACGCTCTGCTTCTGGGCCCAGGGTTCTGGGTTTGGAACCCGAGTGCACACCTACACACTGCTCACCAAGGCATGCCATGGCAGCATCCCATATACAAAATAGAGAAAGATTGGCACAGATGTTAGCTCAGGGCCAGTCTTCCTCACCAAAAAAAAAAAAAAAAAAAAGAAGACCTTTGAGCAGGGAACACTTAACCATAGTGTATTTTAACACTGATTCTTCAGCTCACTATCACTGATGGCTTCAAAGAGAATTCAAATTAATGAATCACTTGTCTCTCTCTCTTTTTTTGTTTTTGGTGAGGAAGATTGGCCCTGAGCTAACATCTGTGCCAATCTTCCTCTATTTTGTATGTGGACGCCACCATAGCATGGCTTGATAAGTGGTGTGTAGATCTGCACCTGAGATCCAAACCTGTGAACCCTGGGCCACTGAAGCAGAGCATGCAAACTTAACCACCAGACCACCAAGCCAGCCCCTCACTTGTCTCTTAAAGAGTTGTCTTTAGAGCCACCTTTTATTTTCTCTTCCTTAATGACTTCTGCAAGGTAATTTGGACATGCCAGAGCACTTTAAGAATACGTCCATAACCTGAATTGTGGCCTGAGTGGTTCGGTTTTGTGTTGTAACATCTACCACCAGGACTCTTCTCCACAAGGTGATTCCAGGAGAGGGAAATGAAGTCCAGCCACTAAAGTGAGTCATGTTCTACCATGTGCTGAAAGCACAAAATATATGACCTGACTCTGAGGAGTCAAGGAAAGTATTGTGGACAAATTACCCTTTTCTTATCGGTGAACCCATTTTCTAAGACTTTATATTAGTCTATGGGTAACTCTAACATCTGGAGGGAGACTATCAGCTCTAAAGAGGTTCTCTTGGATTCTTTCACTTTTGGGTCATAGATACCCCAAAGGGATTTCTAGTTTGTGTGCATTACTAAGTCTTTTTCTGCAAGACTGTTATGGATAATATTTCAATGGGGAAATAATGTAAAATCTATCTTCCCAAAGGGTTAAAATGATAATTTGATTTCTTTTTCTTTTTTTTTTTTGTGAGGAAGATTAGCATCTACTGCCAATCCTCCTCTTTTTGCTGAGGAAGCCTGGCCCTGAGCTGACATCCATGCCCATCTTCCTCTACTTTATATGTGGGACACCTACCACAGCACGGCATGCCAAGCGGTGCCATATCTGCACCCGGGATCCAAACTGGCGAACCCTGGGCCACCAAAGCAGAATGTGTGCACTTAACTGCTGTGCCACCGGGCTGGCCCCGATAATTTGATTTTTTAAAATTAATTTTTTTCCCTAAGTTTTTCTTTGTTTAAGATTTTATTTTTTTTCCTTTTTCTCCCCAAAGACGCCAGGTACACAGATGTATACTCTCAGTTGTGGGCCCTTCCAGTTGTGGCATGTGGGACGCCACCTCAGCATGGCCTGATGACCGATGCCAGGTCTGTGCCCAGGATCCGAACTGGTGAAACCCTGGGCCACTGCAGCGGACCACGTGAACCCAACCACTTGGCCACGGGGCCGGCCCCTCCCTAAGTTTTAAGAGAGAGATTTTGAAGGCTAGATCAGAGTATATGCATTTGGAGAACCTAAATTAAATGTATTTCTTCCCAAAGAAGATATTTTAGGCTCTAAAGGAAAACTGCTAATGCCAATAGAAGCAATATCCAATTTCAAGAGAGGGAACTTTTTGTTCAATTAACAGTTTTTAAAAAGTGTTTATTCTTTAGCTCTTTTGAGTCCTTACTTTTTGGAGAGTATCTTTTTCCTCTTCTACTTACCATTGGAGAAAAATGAAACCTCACTTTAAGTCATTCTGTTTGCCTATTTGCCTTAATTTTTAAGAACACTGTTTGCTTTCACTGGAGTCAAAATGCTGCCTGCTATATATAGTATGTGTTTTCGGTTGTGGTATCAGTATAAGCAGCCTTGGGGCTCCACTATTGAGTTTTTGGCTGGAGAAAAAAGGAATACTAATGTTAGGGTTCTGGTTTGCTGTGTTTCAACACCCACACATGCATACATCTGGCCAATCAACAGCTTTCTCCAAATTTTATTTTCTAATAGAGTTGGATAGCACTAAAGATGAAAAAAATACTAATAGTTATTATTCATTCCCTAAATCTCTTAATCCTATGAATCTATCTTTTTGTCCAGTGATGTACTTCTGTTCTTTCTTTATTATTATGATAAGAAACATAGAGCAAAACTAAATAAACCACTCCACTAACCCTGATTGAGTGAATATGTTCCTAATTTACGTCTTTACACATTTTGGGAATTATCAGGGACAAAGTAAGAAACGTGGAAACAAAGCTTTCTTTGGCTATCTTGGCTGTTCTAATTAATACTTAAATGCTTAAAAATACTGGTTTTATAGGTAATACATGTCCCCCTCATTTGGTGGACTTAAAGAAAATTCCCTTTTAAGAATATAACCAACTAAAAGTAAACTATCAGTCACATAAAAATAAGTATTAATAAAGAGATAGAAGCACCTATGCATAGAACAGATTATCAATTGGCTACCAAATATCTGTAGTATAAGTTTTCCCTGTTTTAAGCAAACTCAACTTATGACATTGTGAAATAACAAGATAAATTAAGGAGAGATCATTTAAAGTTAAATGAATGATCCTTCCTTAATTTATCTGCCAAAATGACTATCTTTTCTAAGTAAAACTGAAACAGTTTCATTTATATGCAAGTATATCAGGAAATCACCTCTTGCCAAAAGAAATGCTTACCTATAGTAAACAGATTACATGATCTAAAATTATCTTGACCATTTTTATAGGCATACAATTAAATAGTCAGAAAAGGCTTTGGCATGTACCTAGTTCAACCTTTATCAGACACAGAAGCTCATTATAATACCTCTAAGAAATGGTATCCAGTCTTGCTTGAACACCTTCTTCTGAGAGTGATATTTAATTTGGGTAACCCAAACAACTACTTCAAAAAAGTAAAAATCAAGGATATTTTAGAAACAGTACTTTGAATTTGTTCAGTGGTACTATTTTTAAAGTAGTTGAAACTTTTCTACTTAGTATTATTTCCCAAACCTCAGACTGTGTTCTTGGACAATATTTTTTATAATTAGTGACTTGTTTGCTTGCTATTTTGTATGCAGACAAAGAAAAAAATTACTGAGCATCTACTATGTACTAAGTTCTCTGGGGGCAAAAAAGATTTGGAAAAAATGTGCTCCTATCTTCCAAGAGCTCACAATTGAGTGCAGGAAACACATACATAAATATCGCCCATAAAAGTGTATTGTGTATTGATATGGAAAGGTCTCCAGAATATACTGTTCAATGAAAAAAAAAGAGAGCAAGGAAGTGTGCATAACATACTATCTTCTTTTATAAAAGAGAAAAGAAGACTCTATGTTCATTATTGCTTTTATTTGCATGAAAAACCTCTCAAAAGATTCACTAGAAAGGAAGGAAAGTGATTACCTCATTGGGGGAAAGGAAGTGGGAATTAGGTGGAGGTGGAACAGGAAGGAGAGTAAGACTTTCACCTACTAACTTTTTATTCTGACTTTTGAACCATGTGCATGTATTACCTTTCTAAAATCATGAAGATTTTTAACATTGCTACAAGCACAGAACAATTACCACTCAATCGAGTGTTCCAACCAGGGTATAAAAATACAGAACAATGATAAGCATAACTAAAATACTAAAACTTTCAAAGTCCTAATTACTTAAACCATGATTTTCATTAGTTTCTTCTCTGCTTAGTTATTCTAATTATACTTCCTAGAAATGATCACAGTACTAATTGTATGTTCTAATTTATTATAATCATTATTTGGAATTTTCATAAAATTTCAGAGCTGAAAAAAAAAATAGATTAGTGGAATCTAAAATTGGTCCACAACACAATCACATGAGGAGCTACCAAACAAGATTACCAGACCCCACCAAAGATCTACCAAATCAGAACTCTGGTGAGGTGGAGCGTGGGAGGCCAGACTTGGGAAACTATATTTAAAACAAAACAAAACAAAAACAAAAAAACAAAATCTTCCTGGGCTGATACTGACGCAATCTCTGCCCCCTTCCACAGAAGAGGGAACTAGGATTCAACAAGATGAAGGAACTTTTAAAAAGATGTAAAATCAGTGGAAAATAGAGCTAGTACGTGAACATTAATCTCTGAATCCCTAGCCCAGTGTTCTTTTTTCAACTCCCTGTGGCCCAGCTGACATGAAGGACCCGAAAGGATGTACTATAACTTCATGTAGAACTTTTAGTCTCTCTCTCATCAAATTTGGGATCTAAACTAACTTGGATTAAGTTCTTCCTTTCCCTTCACTCAATATCCACTGAGGTTTTCTTGTTTCTCTTCTTTTCATTTTTCAGTTGTGGAAGATAATTGTACATTTGTCTAAAGGCTTGTAAAATTTTTTGTATATTTTATACTTTTCCAAGAGCAGGGGAGCAAGCCTGCTGCCCCTGAAACTGTGTCAATAGACGAGAACAGGAGTTGGGAAACTATGACCTGTAGGCCAAATTCAGCCCACTACCTGCTTTTGTAAATAAAGTTTTATTGAAACACAGCCACACCTATTCATTTTCATATTGCCTATGACTGTTTTCTTCCTACAGTGCCAGGGTCAAGTAGTTGTGATACTATCTGGCCCTTTGTGGATAAAGTTTGCCAATCCTGTTCTAAAATCATGAAAATTATTCTCTGTCATTAAGGACAGAGATGGTAACAAGATCCTCTTTTTAGTTATGCTGTGATGATGAGTATCATGATAGTCGATTCTTCTGGTGGAGGTAATAATTAGCAACAAATAGCTAAATGGTAGGGAGGAGAAACAAAAGACTGACACGCAAAAGATCTGTAAGCTAGATATCCAGGACCTGACTGCATGATAAATATTACAGATATATGAAATGGGGGAACCATCTGGCTCTGAATGACGACCAGGTGAGACCCTGCCCTGCCTCCCAGCCTACCTGTTCTGCTAGCCAGGCAATGTGCTTGACCTCCTTGCTGCCTCCTGCTGTACTGGTTGCACCAAGCATGGCATTGAGTTCAGCCAACACCTGTGGGAGGAGAGCCATTATGTTGGTGTGGATAGCTACGAACCAGGAGTGTGCTGTGGCTGTATCCTTGCAGCGTAGGATCAACGTGTTCCTGCTATCAGGAGAATGTAGCTCTATCAATCTGTGTGGAAAAAGAAAAAAAAAAGTGAGCTAGATCAGAAGTCATCAAAACTGCCAGGGTTTAAGATACATAACTGGAAATCTATTTTAATTTTATATTCCTGAATAGAGATACTTTCTCTTAATTCCTTAGGGTCCAACTCCAGAGAAAATCACATATGGAAAGATAATCATCAGAAAGACTAGCTGCTGGGTCTGTTGTTTCAGTGTTAATATAATGACCTAAGATGAGGGAACCTATTGTATAGTCTGCAGTAGAACACTTCACTTTGCTTTAACTTCCATGTCAAAGAAATGGAAAGCATGCTTGTTGAATCTCATAGGCACGTTGCAAAGAAAGAACTGATATTTTCCTAAATACTGAGAAAATTCTGGTATAAGGTATTGCTAGGAAATAAAACCTACTGCCAAATAGTGAACTGAAATTTCCACTGTGAGAAATAAGGAAAAAATAGCTGAAGAATATGACTCTCTATGAAAATTTGGAATTTTTTTTAGTGTCTGGGTAACATTATATGATTAAATCATCCTCTGAGTCATGGCAGAAAAATAGTTAAGAGGTCTTCAACTCTATGACTATTATTTGTTAAGGTTCAGCTGAGAATTTACACTGCAAAAGTAATCTTAGGAATTAGCTAATTTTTTTAAAAGTACACTGAACAAATTCCTTATAAAGCAATTTATTGGGCATTATTTGGTGTTTTGGTCAAAGTTTTTGCTAAGATGAGTTTAAAAGGTCAAATAAATAAATAAATAACATATATATCCTGCTGTGTTCTAACAGTGAACACGTATCTTTCAAAATGGAAAAAGAAAAAGCTCTTAAGGGTGTTTTTCATGGTAGGCTAGAAATTGACAAACTGCCACTGGAGAAGGAGAAATCTTTTTATTCTTTAATCTTTCTAAAGACAGTTTTTGTTTCTTTGAAATATCATTATCAGATCCTATACCACCTGTCAAAGATAAGCAGTTTGTATGTATGCTAGCATTTCTGCCTTAAAGCTTGAGTCCCTTCTTTTGCCACATTTATAAATCCTTTAAAATTCCAAATATTTTAATTTGTCATATTTAATATGGCAGGTATTCATTCTCATTTGAACCCTGGTCAGTCTATCCTTTCTTTTTCTTTCTTTATGTTTTAATTGAGGTCATATTGGCTTTTAACATTGTGTAAATTTCAGGTGTACATTATTATATTTCAGTTTCTGTGTAGACTGCATCATGTTCACCACCAACAGTCTAGTTTTTATCCGTCACCATACACATGTGCCCCTTTACCCCTTTTGCCCTCTCTGCAGCCCCAGTCTATCCTTTCTTAAATAAACATTTATTGAGTACCTACTGCATGACAGACACTGTGGTAGACAGCGGCATTGGAGAGAACAGTGGTGAAGAAGATAATCAGAAAAAAAATAGTCTCTCCCCTCATTGGGCCTATAGTCTAATGGGGAAGGCAGAAAATCAGCAACTAATTAATACACAATTACAGGTTACAAAAAATGATTCTATAAAAGACTGTGATGACTACTATGAAGATCTTGTGTAAAAAAGGCACTCCCAAGATTGTAGTAGCAAAGCAGGACGGCAATGGAGGCCTCTACACCTCAGGGGCACACTTACCAAGCTGGTGTCATACTATGAGACAGTTTATTAACACATCTACCTGCTACCTATCTATTCACCCACTCACCTGCCCTCCCACTGGAGTTACCCATCTAGCTACCTGAAGGCCTAGCCACCAGTCTATCCATGTTTTATATGCCTTCAAAGTTCTAGGGCAATAGCCAAATAGGCCAAAAAGTTCTAGAAAATAGCCAAAACATAAAATAAGATCTGTAAACAGCCAAAACACTTAACAAAGCCCATACTTGAAAGTTCATATTAGTCAGAGGAGAATCTTTAGATAGCAAGTCATAAGCTGTTTGCTTTTCTTTTAGTTACAGTTCTGATGAATTTATTTGATTTTCTATCCTATAGTTAAACATAGTGAGAAGTAGCTTGGGACCAAAATTTAGGGGATTTTGAATAGCAGGTTATGGCTGGATATTATTGGCAAGCAATGTGGAGTCATTGAGAATTCTCAACAGGGGAACAACACAATCAAAACAATGAATTAAAAAATAATTTTATGAGAGGCTGGCCCTGTGGCCGAGTGGTTAAGTTTGTGTGCTCTGCTTCAGCAGCCCAGGGTTTCGCTAGTTCAAATCCTGGGCATGGACATGGCATTGCTCACCAAGCCATGCTGAGGAGGCATCCCACATGCCACAACTAGAAGGACCCACAACTAAAAATACGCAACTTTGTACTAGGGGGCTTTGGGAGAAAAAGGAAAAATAAAATCTTAAAAAAATAATAATAATTTTGAGATATTTGTACACCATGTTCACAGCAACATCATTCACAATAGTCAAAAGGTGGAAACAATCCAAATGTCCATCAAGGGAATGGATAAACAAAATGTGGTGTATATAGGGGCCGGCCCCGTGGCCAAGTGGTTAAGTTCATGTGCTCTGCTGCAGGCGGCCCAGTGTTTCGTCGGTTCAAATCCTGGGCGCAGACACGGCACTGCTCATTGAGCCACGCTGAAGCGGCATCCCACATGCCACAACTAGAAGGACCCACAACTAAGAATATACAACTATGTACCTGGGGGCTTTGGGGAGAAAAAGGAAAAAAAAATGTTTAAAAAAAATGTGGTGTATATATATATATATAAAATATATACAATGGAATATTATTCAGTCTTAAAAAGGAAGGAAATGCTGACACATGATAACATGGGTAAATCTTGAGGACATTATGCTAACTTAAATAAGCCAGTTACAGAAGGACAAACATCGTATGAGTCCACTTATATGAGGCATCTAGAGTAGTCAAACTCACAGAAACAGAAAGTAGAATGGTAGTTGCCAGGGGTTGGGAGGAGGGGGAAATGAGAAGCTGTTGTTTAATGGGTATGGTTTTAGTTTTGCAAGATGAAAAAGTTCTTGAGATTGGTACCACAATATGAATATACTTAATTCTACTGAACTATACACTTAAAAATGGTAAATTTTATGTATGTGTATTCTACCACAATTAAACATTTTTAAATAAATTAGTTAAAAAGTAATCTTATGGTAGGATGTAAGATGGACTACGATAGAGAGAGAAATGGCCTGGGAAGATTTCAATGGACCCAAGAAGGATGAGACTACACAGAGCTCACCAGCAGGACACAGACTCCTAGGCAGGAGGAATCCTCCACCCTAAAAGCCCAGCAAAAGTACAAAGAAGAGACCTCTGTCAAATGGCTTAATATTCATGTTAACCTTTTTTCAGTCCTTTGTGTTATTTTATAATATTCATTCTTTTTAATGTTTTTAATGTTATTTTTCACCATATCAATTGTTGCTGCCATGGTCCTGAACATAAATATTTGTTGGCTAAAAAATTGATTGTATAGGGCCAGCCCCCTGGCCAAGTGGTTGGGTTCGTGCGCTCTGCTTCGGTGGCCCAGGGTTTCGCTGGTTCAGATCCTGGGTGTGGACATGGCCCTGCTAGTCAGGCCACGCTGAGGTGGCGTGCCACATGCCACAACTGGAAGGACCCACAACTAAAATATACAACTATGTACTGGGGGGATTTGGGGAGAAAAAGCAGAAAAAAAAAAAGATTGGTAACAGTTGTTAGCTCAGGTGCCAATCATTAAAAAAAAAAAAAAACCTGACTATTCTCTAGAAGAAAAATAGCTATGCATTTGTTACAGGAAGATTTAAAACAATACATTACACTATATAACAATAAAATATTGCACTGAAAGAGTCATCTCTGTTATAATCCTTTTGATGAGTTAATCACTGCATTATCCAGAGAAACTGCTCAAATAATCATTAAAGTAGCTAAACTTATTTTACAGTAAATTTATTTAATGATAAGTAGTTATCTATAAAATATAACACTAGATTATTAGATAATATATTAATACAAACCTAAAGCAAGTTATTTTATATTTTCTTTATTATTTATACTAATCTTGAAAAGAAAAAGTATTTCTAGTATTTCTAGAACTTCCTATATAAGACAGCAGTTGAGCACATACATCTATTCTAATCCTTCCTGAAATGCCACTAAAAACAACAGGTGAAGGAGATTTAAAAAAATTAAGATCCTTTTTTAGCAGGTTTTTTAAAATTAGGTTTACAGGAAAAACTGAGCAAAAAGTGCAGAGAGCTCCCAAATACTCCTCCCGCCCCAATATCCCCTGTTATTAACATCTTGCATTATTGTGGTACATTTGTTATAACTGATGAGCCAATACAGCACTGATACATTATTATTAACTAAAGTCCTGGTTCACTCTTTGTGTTGTATATTCTATGAGTTTTGACAAATCTATAACGACATATATCTACCATTACCATATCATATAGAATAATAGTTTCACTGCCCTAAAAATCCCCTATGCTCCACCTATGAATTCTTTATTACTCACTGCCAAATCGTCTCTAAGTAGCTGTGCCATTTTGTATTCCGACCAGCAATGAGTAAGAGTTCCTGTTGCTCTACATCCTCGCAAGGATTTGGTGTTGTCAGTGTTTTGGATTTTGGCCACTCTAATACGTGTGTGGTGGTATATGACTGTTTTAAATTGCAACCCTCTAAGGACATATGATGCGGGGTGCCTTTCATATGCTTATCTGCCAGCTGTATTTCTTCTTTGGTGAGGTGTCTATTCAGATTTGTTGCCCATTTTTTAATCGTGTTGTTTTCTTATTGGTGAGTTTTAAGAATTCTTTGTGTGTTTTGGATACTAGTCCTTTATCTGATATGCATTTTACCAAGATTTTCTGCCAGTTTTTGGCCTCTCTTTATTGTCTTAACAGTGTGTGATGGTTAATTTTATGTGTCAACTTGACTGGGCTAAGGGATGCCCAGATAGCTGGTAAAATATTATTTCTGAGTGTGTCTGTGAGGGTGCTTCCAGAAGATATTAGCATTTAAATCAGTAGACTGAGTAAA